GAGTGGTGACCTCATGGAAGAGAAAGTGATGGCAGGAAGAGTGGGGGAGCGTTGAGTTGTTGGTCAGCCACCTGTCAACTACACCATCTCAGGTATCCTTACGGACCTGTTTGAAATGGAAGCTCATGTGATTTTCCTCACAGGGTGTGTCACAGATCATGTCTATGGAGAACTGCAGCCCTCTGTCTTGTACATAGCTACATGGCACGTCACCATTGTGCTGTTCATTGTAGAACCAGCTATACCAACAGTCTTGACCATTGTACAGTATGCCTTTATAAAGCTCTTGGTCTGTCTTTGCTTTCTTTCCATCAGCTGCTGCCCCATTCAGTGTCATGGGGAACTTGGGAAAGAGCCTAGGCTAGAGGATGTTTGAGCTTATGTAATTGTTCTTGATGTACATCCTTGTAAAATCTGAAACAACACAATACTAACTGGACATTGTGAGCCTGGGACAAGGGTGGACCAGAAGCTGTTGGGGCAGGGCAGCTAGTCAGTTACTTGAATCCATGTGACAATAGGGACAGGCCTTGAGCTCGTCTCTGAACTCAGTGGTAACCCCAGACAAGATGAGAAGGCAGAGTAGATATTTGGTGGCCCACTGCTGCCTCCAGCTGGGGGCCCATGTGGCTGGAGACCACTGAGTAATTCCCCCATCCCTCAACAGGGCTCTCCCTTTGAGACTCAGGTGCCCCAGTGGGCAGCAGGGGGAAGCCCACATCTCATGTTTCTTCCTCTTTTACCTTTCAAGCAAATGTTATCTTCCTGTGGTCTTGTGGGACCATGAGAAACTAGAATATTCTCAGTTGCTTTGCTTAATGTCTCTAATCCATTCCATCATCATTATCCCTCAGGACTCTTACATGCCATCATTACCCCTTGGGTCTTTTTACTGTTCCATCGTTACTTCCCCTCAGATATCCCTATGATCCATCATCACTATATCTTAGACCACATCATTACTCCTTAGAATTCTCTCCTGTCCTATCTTTATGATTCCTCGGGCCTCTCTCTTGAGTCATTACACCTCAGCACTCCCTTCTATCCTGTCCTTGGTATTCCTCCAACCTCCCTGCTTTCATCACCATCATTACTCCTCAGTTCTACCCGCTGAGTGCGTGTGTGCATGTGTGGTGTGCATGTGCGTGTGTGTGTGTGTGTGCGTGCATATGTGTGGTGTATGTGCATGTGTATATGTGTATGCACGTATGCACCTGTGACATGCGCAGAGGCCAGAGAAGGATGTCAGATGTCCTGGTCTATCACTTTTCATCTTATACCTTTGAAATAGAGTCTCTCACTGAACCTGGAGCTTGGCTGGTAGTGACCCTCCTGGCTTCCATGCCCCACAGTGCTGGGGTTACATGTGAGCCGCCACATCTGCTTGGGATTTGAACTCAGGTCCTCCTGCTTGAGCAGAAAGCAGTCTTACCTACTGAGCCATCTTCCAGCCCCCTTCCTCATCATTACTCCTCAAACTTGCCTTACTTTCCTCTTCATTATTATCCCTCAGGCCTCCCTTTTTTTTTTTTCATCACTCCTCAAGCTCCCTCCCCTCCTCCTCATCTCCACTCCTCAGGCCTCCCTTGTGCTCCCAAGGGTGGACCAGAAGCTGTTGGGGCAGGGCAGCTAGTCAGTTACTTGAATCCATGTGACAATAGGGACAGGCCTTGAGCTCGTCTCTGAACTCAGTGGTAACCCCAGACAAGATGAGAAGGCAGAGTAGATATTTGGTGGCCCACTGCTGCCTCCAGCTGGGGGCCCATGTGGCTGGAGACCACTGAGTAATTCCCCCATCCCTCAACAGGGCTCTCCCTTTGAGACTCAGGTGCCCCAGTGGGCAGCAGGGGGAAGCCCACATCTCATGTTTCTTCCTCTTTTACCTTTCAAGCAAATGTTATCTTCCTGTGGTCTTGTGGGACCATGAGAAACTAGAATATTCTCAGTTGCTTTGCTTAATGTCTCTAATCCATTCCATCATCATTATCCCTCAGGACTCTTACATGCCATCATTACCCCTTGGGTCTTTTTACTGTTCCATCGTTACTTCCCCTCAGATATCCCTATGATCCATCATCACTATATCTTAGACCACATCATTACTCCTTAGAATTCTCTCCTGTCCTATCTTTATGATTCCTCGGGCCTCTCTCTTGAGTCATTACACCTCAGCACTCCCTTCTATCCTGTCCTTGGTATTCCTCCAACCTCCCTGCTTTCATCACCATCATTACTCCTCAGTTCTACCCGCTGAGTGCGTGTGTGCATGTGTGGTGTGCATGTGCGTGTGTGTGTGTGTGTGTGCGTGCATATGTGTGGTGTATGTGCATGTGTATATGTGTATGCACGTATGCACCTGTGACATGCGCAGAGGCCAGAGAAGGATGTCAGATGTCCTGGTCTATCACTTTTCATCTTATACCTTTGAAATAGAGTCTCTCACTGAACCTGGAGCTTGGCTGGTAGTGACCCTCCTGGCTTCCATGCCCCACAGTGCTGGGGTTACATGTGAGCCGCCACATCTGCTTGGGATTTGAACTCAGGTCCTCCTGCTTGAGCAGAAAGCAGTCTTACCTACTGAGCCATCTTCCAGCCCCCTTCCTCATCATTACTCCTCAAACTTGCCTTACTTTCCTCTTCATTATTATCCCTCAGGCCTCCCTTTTTTTTTTTTCATCACTCCTCAAGCTCCCTCCCCTCCTCCTCATCTCCACTCCTCAGGCCTCCCTTGTGCTCCTCAGCCTCACTCTCAGACCTCATCCTCTCATCATCACTACTCCTCAAAGTTCCTTCTGCTCCTCAAGCACTGTTAGTCAATCTTCCCTTAGATTTGAATGAGCAATAAAATCCCGGCTCTCTTAGAGTAGTGCATTTGAATGTTATCCCCTTTCCTGTATGGAGTCTATTTATAATGGGTTTGGAGCCCATGTAATCTCTTCTGCTTCTGAGTGATGGCTCATTTCCCAATCTTGGTGTTTCGCACCCTGCAGACAGATTTTCCAGCTCCACCTGCTGCCCAGGGAGAGTCACCAGTACAGGACCCCTGATGGGAACATTGATCCTAAGTCTGTCCCTACCCAGGAACCCAGTCTGGGGGCCCAGCACTGAGAGCCCTGATGTGCCTAAGATTTAGGGATGGTGTGAGACAGTGCGACACCCTGGCAGCCACACATAGCTGTCAGTGCCACAAAGACAAAGGTGGGTGTGGCACAGTGGAGAGTGTTGTAGCTTGTCTCCACCTCCGCACAGAAGCCCTCTGCTATGGCTCTGCTTTTGTCAAGTATCAAAGCCCTTCTCGGTAGGCCCCAAGAAATCCTAATTGCAGGCAAGAACTTTTCACCTAAAAATTACCTCAAGAAATAAAATTTATGTTATTTCTTTATTAAATATTGGTATCAGTGGCATGGTAGAATATACATTAGACATGTGCCTCTTTACAGGACACTGAACAAATGAAGGGAAAGAAGAGTTAAACACTTAATCTGGGGATCCCTGCTTTATTTTGGGGAGCCAAGAATAAAGCATGGGCCTAGGGTGGCCCATACTGAGCTTGACAAGAGAGCAGTGAGAAAGGCAAGGCCTTCTGGTTTCAGGAGGGGCATATGATGGTGACTCTGCACAGAACAGACAGCCATGGGTCCTCCTAGGGTCCCTGATGCCTGCTTCTCAAGGCTGTTCTGTGGCCCCACACCCACACCCACACCCCAGTGTCATGGAAAATACTGGTAGTTAAGGAGCTACCAATGCACACTCCAGGGACAAGTTGAGTCCTGATTGCTGGTCCCCGACCAGCCGGTGAGCACCTGGGCCTTGTTATTCCTCATTAGTGACTGTGAAGTCACGGGGCCAAAGGGAGCTTGCCTTCCTGCTGGTATTTTCCACATGAAAGGCCGAGCCCTCTCCAGAATGTGCTGGGTCCTGTGGTCAAGGATCAATCCTGGATCGCCACAGAAGGTCTCAGGAGTAGGCACCACCAGAAAGAAAACTGGCCAGGAAGAAGCTGAAGTGATTTGTCTTTGTTTGAGAGTATGACTTCTGAGGGAACAGCAAGCTGACCTCGGCAAGGTGGCAGGAGCAGGAGTGGCCGGGGGGACCGGGTGGGGAAGCTCGCTCTAGCGCTCCTACATCCCTCGCCAGGCAGTCCCTTTGGGTAAGCCTGAGCTCTGTTTGCCGCCAGGCTTCCTTCTGGTATCAGTTCCCATGACACAATTCCTGGTTCCCCCAATTGCATTTTATTATTGTTATTCTTAAAACTATTTCGGGGGAGGGGGGTGTTGAAAGGCAGTTTAGGGAAGGGAGTGGTGATGAAACGCACGCCCTCTGATGGCTCCAGGAAGCAGGCCTCAGACAGGCTGGGGCCTCTGTGAGCGAACTCCAAGGGCTTATCTAGGTGCAGGCAGTGCTCCAGCCCATGGAGAAGGGAAGCCCGGGCAGTTCCGTGACGTCAGCGTGGGTTCTCCACCTCCAAACTCTGTTAGAAAAATGGGACGTGGTGACAGCCACCCGGTGACATTTCCTATCTCAGTGTGGATCAGGTGGCTGGGCAGAGGGAGGCAGGGTGGAGAGGGAGGGATGTTGTGTTGTTCACCGGCAATGGCCTTCCCCAGCTTCTCTCATTTCCTGTACATCTGCCAAAAATCACACACCGATAGTGGCTGTCAGTGGCCTGTGGGAGACACTGTGACTTAAGTCTATAGAGAGAAACAAAAATGAAGATCCCCAAACAAAGGGAGGCCCTTGTATGTGGGTCCCCTCACCATCTGTCTCAGTCACTCAGCACACTGCAGGAGACATTGGGGCCTGTCTATGCTTTGTTTCACAAACTTAGGAAACATCTTTGAGTTGACCCTTGCCCTGGAGAAGGTGTGCTTGGGCATCTCAGCATCTCAGGCTGAACATAACTGTTTAGAAGTGAGGTTGCTGGCATTCCCTACTATTAACTTGGAGGTTGGCCGTAAAGTGCCATTTCCCTAATGCTCTCTCCTCTCATTTTCTTGCAGTAAATGAAATCATACGCAATGACCTCTCCAGCGCAAACCCCCACTCCTAAATCGGCACATTGGAGCTGGCAGAAGCTGTGTAGAGTGGGCTCAGCGCAGTCAACTGGGCTTCAGCAAGGGAGACTTTTGACGAAATAAACTGAATCCACATCTGGTACCACTCAGACCTTCCAACTTACTGGATGCTAGGAGCTGAAGACTTACACCTTATGTACAAAGTAGCACCTCTCTAACAAGGAGGGAGGGGGAAGAGAGGGAAGCCACCACATCTTCTGTAAGAAAAGCCATCTCAAGGAAGGAGAAGGGCTGACCAGTGAGGCCAGGTACAGATGCTGGCTCTTGAAAGAAGGACCTGTGTGGCAGGCTGACCCCAAGCCTAATCCTCCTGCCCACTGGATTACAAAACTGGAAGTGCCTTATTTAATCAGACCACCACACCAGGGCATTGTGGAAGTGAGCTTTGAATTTGCTACCATGAGAGTATTTGTAGGAGCCAAAGCTATTAAAAATACTTTGTTATCCTTTGTATAAATTGATAAGAATTCTGGCAAGCTTCTAGGGCTTCCTACTTATTTCCAACTTTCCTGGCTATCCTACACAATTTTGCTGCCTTATCCAGTGAGTTTTAGAGGTCTTCCAATCTGTCATCTTGGCTCTTTCATGATCAACTCCCTCTTCTGTGTGACTAAAACCCTAAGTTTGTTAATACTAGCATGTTGGAATTTTTGTTTTTAATCTGGCTTCAAACATAGCACAAGGAAGTTGAACAGCACAAAACAGAGTCCTGGACAAAACAAAACCTGCCTGCCACAGGACAGACCTTGTGTTTGCATGCATGTACATACAAGCATATATTTATGTATTGATATTCAATGGCGGCGATGGTAATGACCAGTCTGTGCCCAGCAGGGGCTTCCACTTAGCAATAACCAGTGTCCACTCTGAGAATTCACCTGAGTCCAGACCTGATTTTCCAGCACCTTCCATCAGGGTCTGTCACCCCTGGACAAGCAGGCGGCATTTTCTTATCTCATGTAGTTGCAGAGCACTTTAGAATGCTGTAGAGTTGCACTTAAAAGCCTGTAGGCTGCCAAATGGCAAAATCAGATAGTAGGTGGAAATAACCATTACAAAAAGAGTGTAATATATTTGTTCAATTGTAAGATTATTATTTCACAGAAGCCTTATAGCTCTCTGCTTCATCTAAGAAAACAATTACCAAAAACAACGTTTCCATATGCAGTCTGTGGATAGTATTTTCAGATTAGTTGCCGTTAACAGATAGGCTGGTGTCAGCTTTACTGCTATGTTTTGTACAATTAGCTGCTTATTACAGTTACTAGCAGTGACCTATTATTTCATATAACCAAAAAAGCATGGTTTAATTAAAACATGTTTAATGACTGTGCCTTAGGAGTTGATGCCCCCTTATGGAACTTGCCTGAATTGCACCTGTGGGTAGAGGTAAGTTAGTCAGAGTCATGACAGGAAAAGCTCTCTCACAGGAAGATGCGTCTTTAAAATGTTCATCTGTTACGACTACATCTTTCTCTAACTCACAGAAGGAAACAAATGTCTGAAAGCCATATTGAACGTTTGCACACGACTGTGAAGAGCTGACGTGCACCGCCTTGTACATAGGTAGTTCCTGGCCGCCTGTAGGCTGCCTCTTGCCTGCATATAGTATGTACCCTGTGTTTAGCATCATGGAGTTGCATGAACTGTTCTTCGTAGACTGTAGTATGAAAGTAAGCATTTGATATTTGTGTCAGCTATCTTTGTAGTTAGAAAATGGATCCAATAAAGCAGTATTTTTTGCTGGACAATCTGTCTCAGAGTGACTGATTGCATTATGGAATGTTCTGTCTTCTCTGTTGCACATGAATGTGGTTGGTCTGTGACAAGTGCCCTATAAAAGTGGATCTGGCTGTTCCTGTGATCATCTAAGCATAGAAAGAATTGTGCCCTGCCCTTCCTGACAGACATGAGTGGATATTTGGTATCGTTCTCAGGCGCTCTAAAAACAGCACTTCAAAAATGCTCATCTAGTCTATGTGGGGAAAAAACTTCTGCTTATGCCAAATACTAGCTCAGAGGGAGGTGAGGCTCTGGCCACCCACATGTTCACATGTGATTGGACAGTTACTTTGGCAACAGAGTGCCTGTGCTTCAGCTAACATGATCAGTGCCGTACTTATCCGAGCTACTCTTCTCCCCCGACCCCCACCACCAGTGCCCTCTTTCAAGCACAGGTGAGAAACAGTATTGAGCCACTTACAGTCCAAGGAGAAACTTAGGACTGCCACAATAATTACTGTTATTAAGTGTCTCTGAAACAATATTTTGCTTCCAGGACATAAAGTGCAGAAGTTCTTCCCTGCTTTCCCAAGGGGTTTACAGAATGACATACTAAAGAAATCACCCTTACCTAAAGTGACACATCCACATCCACCCCACCAGGTTGCTGAGGTTATTTGACATAAGCTCTGCTACAAGCTTGCAGGCCATGCCCAAGAATAATAATTTGGAAAGTGAGATGGCATGGAAGGAGATGGGCAGTTTATCATATTCACAACCTTTGTGTTATGGATGAATGGTGAGGCTTAGTTCCAAAATGGTGGGCCTAAAGGAAATAGTGGACTTGTAGATCTGCAGCACACCTCTGAAACTATCTATTCCCTCACTGCACTGGGCACTGGCCCAGTTGGGCTTCGAGGACAATGGCTTTGTGTGGCATAAAGACTACTGGGAGCTGCCCCTATCGGTGTGAACTTTGTAGGTTCCCATTTTCCCCAGTCTCAAGAGTGGAATTTTATATCTCTCCAAATACATACAAATTTACAAAATGATGGATGGATTCTGCCCAGGAAGCCAGATTCTATAAATAACCCCATTAGTTGTTTTTTGAGCCTTCTAGGTTGATTTTGAGTAATGAAGAAATGTGTTAAAGAAGCTGTGGGTTTGTTTGTAGCAAGTAGATTGTGTGTGTCAGCAGAAAGTCATCAAGGCTACCGTGTGTGGCCCTCATGTCCCCCAAAGAAAGGATGTGTTTTTCTGGGAAGCCAGGAGAGACCTCAGCTTAACTGGGGCTGCTGGGTCCTCTAAAGTACTGCATACTTTACAGGTCTTCACTGGCCTCCCATAACATTTGTCCTCAGCAGCCAGAATCACACAGGAGCTGTAAGGACAGGTGGATTTTCTTAGACTTGTTGACTGTGAGTAAAGGAAGCAGCAACGCAGAGCAAGCCCACACCTCTATGTTAGGGCCTGAGACTTTGGGATGAAATCTCTAATAAGCATACAATTTGTCCTCATGATCAAGTGCAGACTGAGCAAAAGTCCAGATATTTGGGGTTCAGCTGCCCAACCTGGGCAGCTAAAGTCCCTCTGATTGACAAGGCCATCCTGTTCCTCAGAACTCACCCAGGGGGCAAAGCTGCAATATCCACTGCTTACCTCAGAGATCACACCATAAGTGGGCAGCAGGTGGTCTGATCAGGGTCTCTTCTCAACACTAATGAAGGGTTTACAAAACGTGTTCCCTGTAGAGTCCATAAACTGCATTTGAGAGTGTCTGACAGGACAGTTTGCAGGGAGGAAGAGGAAGGTGAGGGGAGGCAAAGGTGAAGACTTTATTTAGAAATTTCATCAGATTTTTTGTTTTGTTTTGTGCACACGCGCGCACGCGTGCACACACACACGCACGCACACACGCACATGTGTGTGCATGTGGAAGCCAGAAGAGAATATCAAGTATTGTTCCTCAGGAGCCATCCACTTTGTTTTTTTGAGACTGGGTCTCTCATTTGCCTGGAGCATGCCTAGGCTGTCTGATCAGTGATCCCAAGGGATCTTCCTGTCTCCGCCTATCCAGCACTGGGATTGCAGGTATACACCAGCATGCCTGACTTTATAAATACGCGTTCTGATGATTTAATTTGGTTCCTTATGCATACGAGGCAAGAACATTACTGACTGAGCCTTCTCCTCAGCTTCAGGTTGGGAATTCACAGAAGATGGAGTTAACCATTGAGTGTGAAGCTCTGTGGCGTTTTGCATGTTCACAAGATTGTATGGCCCCTACCTTTGTCTAGTTCTAAAATATCTTCATCTCCCTCAAAGCAAAGCCCATGCTTGTTCCTGGCCTCCCAGATATAGGAACCTGCCTCCATCCCAGAAGAGTTGCTGACTTGGAACATAAGACACGAAAGGGCTCACACCACACAGTGTCCTGCGAGCCTGGCCCCTGTCTTCCACCGGTCTCTGAGATGCATCTACAAGGTAGTTCATGTCAGTGATGTGCCTCCATGGGGCCACACAATGCTGCATTATGCAGCCCTTCTTGCCACCTAACTGCTCCCCCCGGCAGATGTTGGCTGCTTTTTGCCTCTGGCTGCTGTGAGCGCTGCTGCTGTGAAGCTCACACGCAGATGTTCCAGCTCAGTTCAGGGGCAAACGCTGCAAGTGGGGCCCTGGTCATATGGCAACCGAATGTAAGTTTATGGGACTGTTTAAATTGTCCGTGCCTGAGACAGGCCTGGCTCACTAACCTAATTTGGAATTACATACGTGAAGCACATCATATTTATAATTCTTTATGCCAAAAAAATTAAGTTAGGTCAAAGATGACTGAACGTTTGCTTAGACGGAAGCTGAAAGCAGACTCCTAGCCCGCCTGTGACGACTCCCAGCAGAGCTGGCCCATCTAAGGTTTCTGCCGGGAAGCTGGGACCGCAAGAGCTGTGTGAGTCATTCCTTTGGTGCCAGCTGAGCCCCTGGTGGCACTCATTTTACTTTGCGCACAAACTAACCTAGTGGGGCAGAGAGCCACAGTGAAGACTTCCAGAGTTGGGAGGAGCAAACCTGGAGTGAAAATGTCCCAAATGACAGAGCCACTTCAGACCTCAGATGGCCACCACCACCCAAAGCAGCATCTCACTCCAAGTGAAGTTCAGAGCATGCAGTTTCTGGGTAGTGCACCACACTACTTCTAGAGAGTCGTTTCAACTTTGTGGGGCTTTGTCACCATTTAAAGTGGAGCCCTTGGATAGTGAGAAGAGCTGTGGGGCCACTCAGCTGCGAGGACTGTCCCTGCATTCCCAGGCATTGGCCTTCATAGACAGCAATGGAGCTCTGAACCCCAAGCAGTGGCTCCAGACCTTAGTGTTGTCTCAACATGGCCCAGGTGTGGAAGGCTGCACTCATAGTCCCTATTGTCATCAGTGGTATTGGATGTGGATAGCTTCACCCATAATCCCTGTGTGGACATTGGGGCCAGGGTGTGGACAACTGCACCTACATCCTTTCTGTAAAAACTGGGACTCATGTGGATAGACACTGGGGCCTGGGTGTGGACAGCTGTATCCACAGTCCTGAGTGGACACTGGGGACTCAGTATAAATAGCTGAACCCACTGACCTTTTATGGACACTGGTGTCTAGGACAGCCTACAGTCCCTCTGTGGATGCTGGACCACAAAGGAGGCCATGTGAAGGTGTACCAAGGAGCACTGCTGGGGCTCAGCTGGCTCCTGCCAAGGGGGTGAGTGAGAGAGGACGGAAAGTATGGACTGGCAAGCAAGTTCCAGGGTTTCTGGCTTAGCCTCAGGCCTCACCAGTGGACATGGAGGACTGTGAGGTCTACCTACTGCAGAATAAGCCTTGTCCTGTGAGGTCATTAACTTTTATGGTTTGTGTTGCAGGTAGGCTGACAGAAAGGCAACAGTCTGGGCCCTGCAGGGCCCTATAGGCTGTCAGAAGAAGCTAGCTTTGTCCTTTGGGACAAGGGGACTGTAGCAGAACAGCAATGGATCTGACCACATGGGCTACCACTGAGCTCAGGTTGTCGGGAGCAGAGAGACCTAATAAGCTGATTAATCATTATAGAAATATTGATGAAGGATGGATAATAACCACATCTAACTCTCTAACCAGCAGGTTGGTGAACTTTTGAGTCACGGTTACCAGCACAGCCATCATATAAGTGGGGTGTGGCAAAGAGCCAGATAACAAGAGCCCACCATAGCATTGGCCCAAAGCATATTCTGGACCATCAGACAGCATCCAGTCCTGCACAGCTTTCTCTGTGCAGGACAGAAGTGACCTTCTGCTCCCAGGACTCTGATGTGACCATCAGTGCCCTTCAAGAAGTTACTGAGGGTCACCTGGAGCCTCCAGTGCTCACCCGGCCTGAGCCCAACTCCTCTGTACTCAGCTCCCCATCCAGAGTACCACCTGCCTCAGAGCTCTGCTGTGGCCCTACCTACTGGGTCTAAGGGCCCTTACTCCAGCTCACAGCCCTGAGTGACTAACTCCATTTCTCTTTGTGCCTCATGACAGGACTTTAGCGTCCCTGCTTATAGAGGAAGGACAGAATCCCCTTGCAAACCCAAAGGTCCTCCAGTGTTTCTGTGGTTTTTCAAGTGGTATTTACTTATCAAGGCAAAGAAAACAAAATGTGTGGGAACTTTGGCCAAGGTCCAAGCCACCCATGTCAACATCCAGCTGCGTCTGTAGGTTCTAACACTGTAGTCTTTCCAGATGTTCATCACCCACAATTCTGATGGCACAAAGATTCATAGCTTCCCTAAACCTACATCACTTCTGAAATGCAGCTGCTCCGTGAAGCCTACTGTCACAGACCCTTCCTTGCAGTCTGGCAGTTCTGTCCCAACAATCAATGACTGGTGAT